ACAATATAAACATTTCTTTTATTGAGATCAAAGAATTGTGTTCAAAATATGTTTCAATTAAAAATTATAGTATTCAAAATATCATTTTGCACTAATTAAAATATTATGTGATGTCTTAATTTGTTTTGAAGCTAGAAGTACTCTTGCTTCATGCTTTATAAACAAGAAATATCCTATGGATTTATATTTCATGTACTACAATATATAAAATTTAATATTATCAATAAATTACATAATATTTTTTTATAAAAATTTAATTTTAAATATATTTTTAAAATTAGATTTATTTGTTTTTTAATATTTTAAAATAAATATAAGATGTTATTATGTGATTTATTTACTATATATAATATTTATATGTTGATATTATAAAAATATAAACTTATATTATTAAAAAAAGTAATTAAAATATTACCGACTATCAGTTTATTTGAATGATCCGCCGTCACATCATATTATTATATTCGGTTTCTTAGCAACATGTAAAACAGACTTTCAGAGGCATGTCAGATAACTTGGGCTTCAGTTTTTCGTAGCCCATCCCTTTGTTGCTTTACCATTTCTTTGATTATCCTTTTTATTGATTTTTACAATAAAAAAGTAATTACCAAGTATAATCTAATAAAAAGAAACCTTGGCCTCATAATTATAGTATTATAGTATTTATTTTTTCCTTCATAATAATCAAATTATATATCTTCAAAAAATTAAATCAAAAATTTAATTTTATGATAAAACATTCTTTAAATTAAACCATTATTTGTGTTATTTTCTACTTACTTATTCGTAAAAATAATACCATTTCACTTCATTCTATTCATTTTTTTAATTCTATTGTAATAAAATCTTGGAAGGTCAAAAGTAGATGACAAAAAATGACTTGCAGACTGCTGTCTTTTTGCTTGAGTTAATTATATAAATTTATTTATAACTTGACTCTAGTTTTTACGCTTAGGTTTGGACTATTGCCAAAAGTTTCACGTTTAAAATTCACTCGTTCAAATTTAATTTTATGTTACTTTTTTTGTTTGTATTCCCACTTGATTAATTTTCTTTTTGTTGCTAGCTACAAATTCTTTTGGTTTTCACATTCAAAGACCAAAATATCAAACTAATGGGTTGGATATCTTTTACCATTGTTAAATATTAAACTTAAAATTAATTGGAGGTAAGAGAAGATGTTAAACTTTAATATAAAACTATGGGATATGAGATAGCACCACTTTAATAGACTCCTATTACGTGTAGACAAAGATGAAATAAATCTATTATATGACAGATTAAGAAAAAATTTAGATTTTGATATTCTATTAAGTATCCAACTTAAAATCAATTGGTAATAAGTGATGGAGCTCAATTTGAATATAAAACTATAAGAAATTAAAAATTTATTATATATAGAATAACCAACTTTAACAGTTCTCCATCACGTGTAGACGAAAATGAAAAAAAAATTTATCACGTGACAAATTTAAAAAATGCAACAGAAAAAAATCATGATTTTAATATCATATTAAGTATTCAACTTAAAATTAATTAGCAGTTAATAGAAGGGTCTAACCTAAATAAAAGATTACAGGATGTAGAATAGCACCACTTTAACAATTATGTGTCTCACATTCTTGACCCAAAAGAAAATAAATAAATAAAATAATATTTTTTTATATAAAAATGGCTACAACTTGAGAAGAGAAAAAAATGTAAATATTTATACTTGAATTTTAAATTTATTGGATATAATTTCTTAAATTTTTGACAAAAATCTAACTCAAAAATTTTTTGATAAAAATTATATATGGATTTGGTAAAATAAAAAATATATATTTAATGTTTGGTGTGTCAACACTAATTGTAACGTGATAATTTTTATATTTTACATGTATTTAATGTAATATATATATAATACGGATACAAAAATTAATGAATTTTTAGGTGTAAATTTTCATTCACCGTTAATAAAATTTTTCAATTTTACAAGCGAAATTAAAATATCCTTATGTATACTTTTTTTTTTTATCATAAACAAGATATTTGAGAACCATCTAACTTGGGTAAAATTTAAAAATTACATCAATAAATCGAATATGCACATTGATAATATATGAAATAATTTTCTTGTATATATATATATAATATTATATATATATATAATCTAATAAAAAGAAGTGCATGCTTTCATGAATTTTCTATAAGAATTCAAATGTTACTCAAGCAGTTACAAAAACAAGAGAAATAGCCTTCCCAAAAGGGAAATAAGATAAGGAGGATGGACAATTTAGCATGTGGGAGACCGGTATACCAAAAAGCTCACGTGTTTCGCAATAGGCAAAGGGCAGTTGATTTCCAAATACATGATTATTTAGGTCCAAAACCACACCTTTCGAATTAAATAGCTTTGTAGTAGCAAATTAAACCATAATTTTATTTCCCAAACTTTATAGAACGTTGGGGAACTGTACCTACTAAGGTGGATAGTTATGGGGGCATCAATTTCGCAAATGAGAATACTTAACCACCTCACTATGGCAACCTTAATAATAATTGCAGCTCAAAAAGCAAAGAGAGGTTTGGTCAAAATTCCAATTCTAATTTTCACTATACTTAGACAAAAAAATAATAAAAACTTATCTTAATAGCAAAAATTTAAGATATTAAACTCTGAAATTTCATTTAATTGATTCACGTAACTATTTTTAAAGGATATCATTTAATAAATTTAGGATTCAAATCTCAGTACTTATTTTTATTCTCAGACTATGATCTTTTATATATAAAAAAATAGAGATATTAAAATTTTTAAATTTTAGATTTAAATTTCATTATCGGTGTATTTTTGTTTAATTATATATTGATTTATTTATTTGTTAATTTGGTTTGATTATTATTGTTTTATTGTTAATGTATATTAAAAAATTATTTAATTATAATTATAATTTTACCGATAAATGTAATTTTATAAATTTTTTTCTATTGATCTTACTTTAAAAAGTAATGAATTGTATTTATTTTAAAAGTGTAATTAAATTAACATGAAATAAACCTTTATGATAGTAGATCAATTTAAGTTTTATAATCATTTTAATTATAAGGAGATCTTAAGTTTTATCTAATATATATTATCGAATATAATAAATTCATAATAAATTATTTTTTATAATTTTTAATAAATTCAAATCTAAAAAAAAAAAAAATCTTTTTATCATTTGAATCAGACGTATTTATATCCTTATTATATGCATACCCAAGTCTTCGGATTTTCGGAGTGAAAACCTTTAAATTGCATTTGCAACGGTGGTAGGACAGCCTTAAATTAGTGAGGAAAAGTATCGTTTACTTTGACAATGGAAAAGAATGGATCCAAGGGGGACAAAATTTCCAAAGTCGAACAGAGCATGTCTTGTATTAATTAGCAACTTACACCACTCAATTTTTTGCCACATGGCACTAACTTAGTGGGTTGACTCAAAAAGGATTTCAAACCCTGAAATAAGAGAAATTCAGGAATAAAATGAATAAATTCTTCCATACAATATGCATTACTTTTCTTTTGGCAATTATTTATGAACTTCTAACAACCCAAAAGGAAAAAAATAATAATAATTGAACGATGGCCAGTTTGTCTGTAATGAAATTAAAAATTAAATTTAAAAATTTTAAATATGATATAATAATATAATATATAAATAATATGTTTCAAAATTTTAATAAAAATTATAAATAAATTTAATAAAATTAAAAAAAAATATATTTTATATTTTTATATTTATATAAATTATAATATATAATTTTTATATAAAATATAATATAAATATTTAAATTATTAATATTTTATACGATACGATTATAAAAACAATAACCTTCATTAGTCTTTTAGCAGCTGAGTTGGTTGGCGGCCTGCCCCTGACGTCCATCATTTACGTATGTGTATATACAGTATTTGAATTCGGATAAACATTGAGGATAAATATTATATATATATATATAGCAGGAATGATGATATTTGTGGCCGACATTTTAAAGTTTTTCCGACCTGTGTGCTGCTCTTACTGTTTATTATATCATACACATAGAAAGAAAAAGAAAAATTATAGTCATGAATGATTGCTTACGTGGTTAAGTGATAGAGTTAAACACTTGTTCCATTTGTTTTCAATTTGGTGACTAAATAGGCTTTCATCATAATAAAAACCTTGACATCATCTCAAATAAACAAAAACAAACTTATTAAAGTTTAAAAGAGGTTTACTTGTGTGCATATATATATATTATAATATACGATAAAAAAGAAAGTAAAGGTCTCATCATATAAAATTTACATTTTAATTATCATAATGTTTCTTTTAATATATAAAAAAATTACGTGTTTAATTTTTTTTAAAAAATTATACGTTGAAATATTCATTTTCCTTTCCCTTGGTTTTCTGTTTTTTACCATTTCAGAATGGATGCTTCTGACCTTCCAATCTTCCATTATATTAATTTAACGAAGGCAAGATCAGCTTGAACATCCTCATCATCAATCACACAGCCAAAAAAACAGATAAATCAACCCCCAAAAAAAAAGAAATTTTCTATTAAGAAAATGGTGGGTCAAAATAGGTGGACACCCGAGGCAACAGTAAAAACCGACGAGTGTTTGTGGCAGGGATAGCTGAGCTGACGCAGCCAAATTGGCATCCCCCATTTGAATTTGTCGCTAACCGATGACGTTTTTGTTTTTGAGTTAAAAAAAAAAAAAAAAAAGCACGAGGTAGAGCGAGAAGATCAACTCAAGTTTTTTAGACAGAGATAGTCAAAAGGGAACGTTAATAATGCTATTTGCAAATTGAAGCATATGCGCGCTGAAATTATAATAAAAATTCTTAGCCATTTAAGACCTGGCAAACGTTAGTTGTAGTTGAGTAGTACTAGCAGTAGTTATAGTTGTCATCCTTGAGCTTTTCGATTACTTTGAAAAGTCTCCCTTTTCCTTGTTTTGACTTTCTCGGGTTTTGAATGTATATCCTCTCGATCACAACTGCATATATAATCTAACCTCTCTGAATTTCTCATCCTACAAATCGTCCTCAAAGTTCAAACCAATTCACAACTACATCTTCAACAGTTACGATTCAACTACTTTCAATCCAATTCTCAACTCTTTTTTGAACAAACTTAAGCTTTTTCTTGTCTGGGTTGGTTCCTAATAAAATGGATGAAATTGATGTTCCTCCATTTTTTATTTGCCCTATCTCTCTTGAGATTATGAAGGATCCTGTTACGGTTTCAACAGGGATTACGTATGACAGGGAGAGCATTGAGAAATGGTTGTTTTCTGGGAAGAACACCACATGTCCTGTTACAAAGCAAGTTATCGCGGATTGTGAACTTACCCCTAATCATACCCTGAGAAGATTGATTCAATCTTGGTGCATGTTAAATGCTTCGCATGGAGTCGAAAGGATTCCAACGCCAAAGCCACCCATCCGCAAAGCTCAAATTATCAAGCTCCTCAATGATGCCAAGTCACCACAGCAACAGATAAAGTGTCTCGGGAGGCTACAATCAATCGCTTCTGAGAATGCTACAAACAAAAGATGCATGGAATCTTCAGGTGCAGTTGAGTTCTTGGCTTCAATTGTGAGTAATTATGACTCTACAGAAGCTGAAGAATCATTAGATAACGAGTTTGAGTCAATAAGACCAACTGAGGAGGCTTTAAGCGTTCTTTACAATCTCCAACTCTCAGAAGCTGCTCTCAAGAATCTTATGGCCAAAAATGGTGATTTCTTAGTGTCCCTAACGAGAGTAATGCAACATGGAAGCTACGAGTCTCGGGCCTATGCAGTACTGTTGTTGAAATCAATGGTGGAGATAGCTGATCCGATGCAACTAATCAACTTGAGACCTGAATTGTTCGTCGAACTAATTCAAGTTCTGCGTGATCAAATTTCTCAGCAGGCCTCAAAAGCTACTTTACAGTTGTTGATCAGTATTTGCCCATGGGGAAGAAACAAGATTAAGGCAGCCGAAGCCGGTGCGGTACCTGTCTTGATTGACTTGCTTCTTGATTCGTCAGAGAGAAGGGTTTGTGAGCTGATACTGACAGTGCTGGATGCATTATGTGTTTGTGCCGAAGGCCGATCCGAGCTGCTAAATCATGGAGCAGGGCTTGCTATTGTTTCAAAGAAGATACTTAGGGTTTCTCATGTTGCAAGTGAAAAGGCAGTGAGAATTTTGCTGTCTATTTCCAAGTTCTGTGCCACTACTAATGTGCTTCACGAGATGCTGCAATTAGGGGTTGTGGCCAAATTGTGCTTGGTCCTTCAAGTGGACTGTGGATTCAAGACTAAAGAGAGGGCCAGAGAGGTGCTCAAATTGCATGCTAGAGTATGGAAGAATTCTCCTTGCATGCGAAGCAATCTGCTCTCCTCCTATCCAGCTTGACCAGAAGGAGAAAACTTGATTGATTCAAGAGTTTCAATTGTTTTCCTTTTTGTCAATTACCAATATATATACTCATGTACATAATTGTTCGTTGATAAAATTAACTAGCAAAAGCAACATTCATGGGCAAATAAACTAGTGCCTGCTCAAATTAAATGTATAATTATGGCAAAAAAATTTGTTTTATGTTTTGGAAAATTGATTGGATACTGGCTTCATCATTTATTGACAAGTTGTTGATTAACTCAAATTGGCATATTCATTCATTTGCCTCGTTTCATTAATTGCTTGAAACAACACCTAAGTGAGTACATGAAAGTTGTTTAAGCATTTATATTTCTTTTAATTAATCAATATATATGGTTATGCTTTTAATTATTTCTTTTTCATCCCATGATCAATTATCTCTTCTAAATATTGCTTATATTTCTCTGTGAAAATAACTTAAAATTAGCAAATTATAAGAGTTAAATGAGGCATTGACTTAGCGCAAGAAGGAGGCTTTGAAAATTTAAAATCTGAGGTTCAAGTTTTGTTGTGTATGTGTTTAGTTTAATTTTATATTGAATTTGAAATTATAAAATAGTTTATTTGTTTGATAATTTAATGATTTCTTATAAAATATTATATTTATTTAGGATTATAATTTTTGCATTTGTAATTTAAAAAAATAAGTAATTTGTACGAGACAATCTTGGAAAACATTTTAAAGAAATTGTTAATTAACCATCTAGATTTTACTAATTACTAGAAAAGATTTCAACTAATTTTCATAAATCGATCAGTATTGTACTATATATCAGCTCAATATAATATTAAATAAAAAAGAATACAAATTAAGAATGATAAAGCTAGATATATAATTTGGAAATGGTCTCAATCCTTCAACTTTAACAATAAGCTAATATGTCAGCAAAAAAAAAAAAAAGTTATGAATGTAGAGAAAAATTAAGCATTTTCCAGAGACAAAAATGTAAGCCCTAAAGACCCAGGTGCACAAAGTTGGCAGCAAGCCAGCGTTGAATGACCCATGTCGGCTTCTGCGGAGGTCAGCGCTCATTCTTTTTAATGTTACGACGGTAAAACCATGGTTCGTGCATCAATTAAACGAGCCAGGGCTGGGGCCTAGGGTCCCCAGAGACCAACTCCAGTCTTTAATCAAAATTAAAAGGAAAAAGGAAAAGGTATCATCCTTTTTCAGGCTTTCAGATTCATGCACGCAATTTCAGCGTTTGAACGGTCTTAAAATGCCACTAATCTTATACGTTTTCTAATTTTACTGCTCTTCCATCTTTTATCACCACAATTTTTTTACATGAAATCATCATAAATTAAATTTTAATTATTAAAATTAAAAGTTTAACACTCTACTTGTGTAGTTAACTTACCACTAAAATTTTAAAACAAGGGCTTTAGCAATTCAACATTTTGCATTTGATTTTTTTTTTCTCATCTGTAGAAAATATTATACTTATTTAGTTTCCGGATGCATGCATTTTCAATTTCTTTCATTTGAACATATATATTAAAATTTCAAAATTTACATTCTGCCTTTGTTTTAAAAGTATATATTTATATATTGTCATGTTTCTTTGATAATTAGTTGTATGACTATCTAGAAACTACTGGTTTTGAGTTTACCAATCTAGTTTAGCAATGAATTATGAAGCTTCTATTAGCTCAAAGCTAAGCTAATTAAATTATATATAGATGAAATGTTCAGTTTGCTTTACTGGTTTTTTTAATCTTCATTTAATAGAAAAAATAGTTGAGTTTAATAATTAATTTGTTGTTCATTGCACACAAAAAAAAAAGTTATTCAAATGCATAACTTTTAAAAATTATATATAAAATCAAATTTTAAAATTTTGAAGAGTACTGTATTTGTATTCAAATGCATTTTGTATTGTTTTAACTTCTTGAAAAAAGTTAAGTAATAATAAAAATAATAATAATAATAATCAAAGTCTAATATTTTGATTATTACTTTCATTGACATCGTAAAACAATACATATTAATATATAGTCATTTAAAAAAAATAAAAGGTTAAGGCTTCCGTTGACTTTGATTCCCTATATCCAACGGTCCTACGTACTTAATGAGTGAGAGGCTCCCTCAAATTAATTATCTTCAATCACAAAACAAAATAGTTTAGCACCATTTTAATGATAATAGTACTTAATATATACAGCCTCGAAATTATGTCAATTGTCAAATATTAATTACTTAGGGTATATTAAAAAAATTTCAAAATCTTAATTGAGAAATTATTTCATCTATTGTTAGTATTAAACTTTATAAGTAAAATTAATAGGATGATATGTATTTTTTATAATATATTAAAAAAGAAAAAAATAAATTAAAAAATTTAAACACGTGACAATTTCTTAATATCATTTGTAAAATTACAAAAGTAAAATTAATAGGATGATATATATATTAAAAAATAAAAAACAAATTAAAAAAATTAAATATGAGATCAATAATCTTTTAATCTCGTTTATGAAATTATAAAATTTAATTATAAATGTATATATTATAATTAATTTACAATCACTCAATGATCAATTAATATATTAGAATATAACTAAACAATCAACTCAATCAAATTTACACATAATGATATTTGAATTTAAAACAAGATTTGAAAACTTTTTTTTTTGCTTCTAAACCAACTAATAATATTTTAATGCCAATATTTTCCATACACTTTTATATTATTAATAGGTATATATATTTATAATTATTATTTTATTTGAATTTGCTAAAAATTAATTTCTAATCATTAATTTTTTATCTTAATTAAAAGTTCAATAATTTACCAATATCACACGGCCGTTAGACGCTTTATAATTAAATTTGATCATGAAATTGCTGACAATTTACCTTATAGTATTTATTACTTTTTCAACCAAAATAATTTGACAATAACAACAATATATCATGTGTGGTCAAACTCAAAACCCAGCTAATACTGCAACATGACACAACTTGCACATGGTTAAGACTACCATAGCAGACCATCACCGTCCGACGACTTTTCCGATTCATGTAATCGACAATCGACCATGTCTCATCAACTCTCACATCATTTGATTAATTGAACCTTACGCCGTCGACCTGACGCTAAATCTGCAACCTTCATGATTAATAAATTAAGTACGATAATTAAGACAATAATTAAAGAAACCCTAGCTACATACATGCTATACCATTTTGAATATTCAGCATTTTCTGGAAATTAAATTTATTTATTGTTTTTCCAAGCAATGACAATAATTAAAGAAACCCTAGCTACATACATGCTATACCATTTTGACTATTCAGCATCTCTGGAAATTAAATTTATTTATTGCTTTTCAAAGCAATGATTTCATCAAATGGAATTTGTGGACTCTAATTTACTCCTCCAGAAATTTGTCAACTGGAATATGATTGCGAGAGTTGGCTTTTGTTTTTGTTGCATCTTGGGCGGTGGCACCAGGAATTTGTCAATTCCAATGGACTGTACATTTTATAAGGGTATTAGTTGAAAACTTCGGATTCTTGATAAGCTATATATTTGAATTATTATTGATAAGAATGAGCTAGAGAATTTTGAATTCGATGCCTGCTTTTGAATTTTTCAATTTTGAATTTATATATAATCTAGATAGTCCAAAAAGAAAAACTTTATGTTGTCAAAGGAAAATCATCTCATTTACTATTGATCAAAGTTTTTAAATTTCATTATTAACAAAGTAATACGAATTTTTTAATTTTAACAAAAAATAAAAATTAATTAAAAAATAACTTTTTAATTTTACTTATGAAATTAAGAAATTCATTAATAATTCATGTAGTTGATAATATTTGCAATATTTAAGTGAACTTTAGCGTGTTGCAGCCTTTATCATCTCGAGAATTGATTCCTTGCTTACCCATTATTTCTAATTTCTATATATCTTTTTACTCATAATTTTGAGCTACATAATGATAAAAATTTTGTACTTTCCAACCTCATAAACCCTCATCCTTCCTGCTTTAGAATTGGAATCCAAGGCTTTCCCATATAGAGTTTTATGTTCTAGCTGTTAATTATTAGGTTGTCTGGTTGAAAGTAAATATAGATATATTCAAATATTATTAAATTGAAGTTGAAATTTCTACTTAATTAATCAAATATAAATTCAATTAATTAATTATAGATACAAGGAAAGGGTCAAGTTGGAATTGCAAATTAAATGCTACAATATATACACAGAGGTTTTGGTACCTTGACTTGGTTTAATGAGTGAATAGCATTTATCAGCTTGTTCCTATCAGAAAAAGGAAAAAAAAAAAAAAAAGAAAAGGAAAAAGAAACATTTATCAGCAAGTTGTGAAGGAGTTACTAACAACTGATCTTAATGATCCAATTAGTCTGGCATTTCTCTATTTCATTTCTTAAACAATAAAATTAAGATGCTAAACTATATATATTTATATATATAAACATTAACCAGTTTAGGGCCCAATAATCAACTTTAATATGTGGTATTTAAACTAAAAAAAATGTCTAATAAAGAACCTTAATTTTTAATTTTTGTATCAATTTATATTATTACCGAACACCATTAACAAAAATTGATGAGATAACAATTAGCAATAAAAAATTGACACATGCATAAATATTATACACGTAGATGATATTTGATTATCATGTGATATTAATATGATTGTCATATGTTATGAAAATTTTTAAAAATTCAAAAATAAAAATAAATTTTTTTACAAATTTTCAGAAAATAAATAAAAAAAGAAAACGAAAGATTATGTGTTTGTAATTCAATAAAAAAGTTAAAATCTGGAATTTTTAAAAGAAATTCAAAATCTAATTTTTTAAAAAATAAATTTTGAAAAAAAATGAAAATTAAAATTTAAAAAAAAAAGAAAAAGAAAGAGAATTGGGTATACAGAGGAAGGGGGAGGAAAAAAGAGGAAGAGAGAGAGAGAGAAGAGGAGGAGATCGGCATCAACCAACCAATCCAGGATGGATGGAGGGCAATCTGCCTCGAACTAGGCAAATCAGCCTCGATCCACCTGGAGTCGGCTGACCGATGCCGGCAAGAACCCCTCCTCCTCCCCGCTTTCTTTGTCCTCCTTCCCCTTATCTATCCCAAATTATTTTTGTATTTCAAAAATAAAAAATTCAAATTTTTATTTTTAATTAAAAAATAAAAATTCTATGTGGGCAGACACGTGTATCTACATGGCAACCATGTACTTACCCTGCATTTTTATTTATGAAATATATATATTTTTTGAATACCTGTCATATTTTAATTGGATAAAGGTTAAGCCCATTTTTTATTTTTCTTATAATATTAGGGATTGAGGTAACTTGATAAACGGGTCACAATTTTAGAAATCTGATTAGATATTTTTTAGTTCATGTATCACTTTGGATATTCTTTTAATAATTCGAGAACCATAGAAGACATTATCCCTACCCAAAAAAATGTTACATGCATATTGGTTTATCCTTATAGATTGTGCTAATTAGCTGCCCTTAACAAATATATACCTTTCATAGATAAAAAAAAAAAATTTTTTGCACTTTTAGAATGATATTCTTAGTGTGAAATACTATTAACTACTGAATTGAAGTGCATGCTATTATTTTCTTGAACAATGAACTGTAGGTTAATTTAAGGCCATGGTTTTTGTACTGAGCCTAATATTTCTTGAAACTCTGAACTGTGTAGTACCTGTTTGTAAATGGAGTAAAACATAAGCTGCCCCTTCGTCAATCTGCTGCTAATTATATTAAATCTTTGAACTCATACTTTTTTTTTCATATACTGATATTATTACATCTCAAATCTTTTGATTCTATACATAAATATTAGAAGAAAAACAAGCAAAAGTAGGGGGAAAAAGAAACAGTGATAATGGCAGAGGCTAGTGCGCACATGAATTCCCTCAAGTCCTGGTGAAACTATCGTCATTAGACAAGTCAAATGGACTCCAATTACCAAACAATAGATTTGGATCGTGAGTTTCAGGTCCTAGAACTGGCTCTTGTGTTGCTTGCAAGGCATGACTCATGGTGGAATGAGAATTCGACCACAGTATTTCTTGAGACGATAAATCATCATCTGGCAATGGTGGCAATGCATAGTTACTTGTTTCCTGACCTGTACAATGTTGAACTCTATCCTGATACTTGTAAATTGATTCTAATCCAGAATAGTATATCTGATCATTGTTGCTCAACTGATTTTCTGTGGACAAATTAGAGCGAGTGAGGCACCCGATGAGACCATTTTCTTCTGGTTGCTGAGTACTTGAATCGATATTTGTGTTCGATAAACTTGAAAACTCCAGAGATGGATCAAACTCACTAGGCAACTCTGGCACTTCAATACCAGACTTGTTTTCTGGTTGTTGATTATTCAAGAAGTTTGCATAAACGAGTGCCAGATCGATATGAGAGCCATCAGAGTCAGCAGAGGCACTTACTTGATTACCATAGGAATGCCTAATTGAGTCAGTTGGAACTACTCCACATGACAAACTCTTTGAGGGGACACCATCGTTTGGTAGCCTTAAAGACTTGCCTCTTCTGTTTTTCCGGCAGCCACCTCCAACCGGAACTTTCCTAAGTGACCCTCCTTTAGTCCAATATCTTCTACAGCCTTTGCAGAAGTACCTTGGTTGTGTTAAGCTATAATTGTTGTAATAACAGAATTTAGTATTCGAAGAACCACACCTTGGACAAGTTGGTGATATCTCCACACCAGGCTTCCATCCTTTCTCCATAACCAATTGCCTTGAGCCTTCATCAAGAAAGCTAGCACGCAGATGCACAATCCCTCTTTCTCTCTCTCTCTCTCTCATGGGGAGTAGGAGAGAGAGGGGGTTCAATTATTGAAGAAAACCAATCAATTTCAGGAGAGCTATAAGGGGAAATGGAAATGTGTCTGCTAACAAACACGTGACTGGAGTTGATAGGTTGGTTTGAGGGCACATGAATGCTCATGGGGCCTTGGAAACGAGCGTGCAGCCATGCACATGAGAATGAGTTAGGCAAGTTGGGGTTACGGTGCCGTTAAGAATGACAGATGGTGTGTACTAATCCCGTAGGCTAATACAGTGTGTCGGTGTTTGTCACACGTGGCACGACGCCATAGACGATAATGATGGAGGTATAGGAAGCAAATGCCTCGAGAGGCACAATCAGGTTTTCTTCCAGCAGCAGACAACCTAGATATGAAAAATAAATAAGCTGTAAATGACAACTCCACTTATTCCAGATTCAGAGATGTTAATGTCCTTTTACGCAATATCTCCCCTGGTGAAAAGGGATTCAGAGTTTGAACAGATTATAAAAACAGATGCACACGGGCAATGCACATGGCTGGTGTTTCTTGAAGAAGGAATGTCTCTTTGGTCGGCGTAGATTGGTAACTTTAACAGAGGATCTCTGGGATCATGTGTTTCTTGGATCATGTACTTTTTGAAGATTTCATGAATGTGAATGTCATCAAAATGTTGAAGAAAATGAAGACTTCTGAACACATATCTCTAAGCAGTTCCTGATTCTGAAAACAAGCATGGATTCCTGATAAGGAGCTAAATATATCGTTAGACATGAAAATCAAAAGCACAAAAAAAGATATATGATGAAACAAACTGCAAATTTTATAATGCATTTGCTGTTTGATAGATAGAGAAAAAAAAAAAAAGAAAAAGAAATAGACTGATTTCTACTCTACTTTTTTTCTTTTTCTGAATTTGGAAAGAAGGGTTCGTCCTTTTATTCTGAAAGAAAAAGTAAGAGAAAGAAATCAGAGAAAAAAAATACTAATTATTGTTAGCAGAGTAAAATGTTCATTAGTCATAGTTTCTACTGTGTTGACTTGACTGGTCTATGCTCTTGACCAAGTCAAAATGGCTTAAGAGTCTCTGCTTTCACAAAAGCCATGGTTGGTAGTAACTACTAATCTGTTTCATACTCGAAGTTTATCATTAATTTGCGGAGGAAATGAGTAGAAAAGGAAAATAAGGTAACTAGATTATAACAATTATTGTTGTACAACTTGTGATCAGTTTGATGTTTAATAATTTTAAGTTCGAGATTCAAAATGCGGGAATGCATTCAACTTATTTTAATCCAAAGATTAGAAAAAAAATTGTTTATTCTTCTTTTTTTTCCTCAATTTTCTTTTAAGTTTTGCATATAATCAAAATTTTCTAAATCAAACACATTCTCAAACATAATATATTAAAATTTTGCTTCAGAATCTACATATTAAAGCAGGATAAGTGTGGAATATGCAAATTCACCAGAAAAGAACACATCAAATTCCAAAGATTGCAAGAGAAGAGCCTTTTGCTTATTACTACTAGCAGCTAGAAATGTGCCTAAAAAGCTGTAGGGCTGGCATTATGTACAACAATAAGGTTGAACTCAAAATCAGCAAATAATTCTTCCACCACCTCTGCTACAATTCCTCTTTAATGACTGATCTATCTTCCATTGATGCATGGCTTCAACCTTGGTAAAAAACCATTTCGGTTGAACTTTTCGAAAACTAACATATAAGATAACCATTCCGAATACCATTCCACATCCATACTCCATTAACAATGCTTTCCACCAAAATCTATCTTCAGTTTGTTTAGCAGGAAAGACTCGCTTTTCAGATTTTGGTCCATTTTCGTCCCTCAAGTTTGATGGTGGAAGAGTTGGATCCTCCAATTTGAAGAGTGGACTATGCAAACGTGGATTTCCCAAGTAGGACTCTTTTTCGAATGTGGCTAATTGCCCGATACCGGGAATTCTGCCAGCAATGAGGGGGTTGAATGAAATGTTGAACTTGCTAAGCTCATTCAAGTTATTGAAGTTGGTTGGAAATGTGCCTGAAAAGTTGTTGTGTGACAAATCAAGATTCTGTAAGCATTTCATATTCTCAATTTCCATTGGAATTTGTCCAGAAAATTTGTTCCTGGAGATGTTTAGGACTAAAAGTGGCAATTGTCCAATCTCTGTAGGCAGTGCTCCATTGAATTCATTGTACCCCAAATGCAACACACTTAAATGCTGCATCTTACCAATATCTGAAGGAACCTCCCCTGAGAGTTGATTCCCACTAAGTTGAAGATAACCTGAGACTAGATTTTCCCGCACCGGTGAACCTCGAACACAAACTTGGAAAAAGCCACATCCTTTAAGTAACCGATCCCATATGCTTCTGCAAATCTTCCTGGTAAGAATTGTATACACAAAACCAAAAGGTGAGTAATCTGTAGTTAGCAACCTCTTCGCCACCAAGCACTCGCTGGGACCAACAATCATCTGGTCACTCTGCTGATTTGATTCAAATGTTGGAGTAGCATTTCTTCCCATATTTGTTAACTCAGGAGGGAATCTTCCGGAAAGTTGGTTGTTTGCAAGGTTTAGCCATAATAAGCTTGAGCAGTACCCAAGCTCACGTGGGATTTCACCAGTTAGTGAGTTGTTTGCCAGCATTAACCACAGGAGAGATTTCAAGTTTCCAAGGGCAGGCGGGATCGATCCGGTGAGCCTATTGAAGGAGAGATCAAGGGCTTGTAGTTGTGACAATTCTCCATACTCCGGTGGTATAGCACCAGTGAATTGATTGTAGGCTAAGATTAAGAACTTCAAATTTAGCATTTGAGAGATTTTAGCTGGTAACGGTCCAGAAAATTTGTTGTAGCTTAGGTCTAGTCGAGAAATGTTTTTTAGCTTGTGAATCCCAGAAGAATGCAACCCATTTGTGTATGAATTCCCCTGAAGTACAAGAGATTTCAACTGTCTGAATCTCCCGAAAATCTCTTGTACCTGTCCACCAAAATTGTTCTTGCTCAAATCCAGAAAGGCCAATTTCTTCAGATTCAAAAGAGATTCTGGAATCATTCTCGAAAAACGGTTGTCCCCCAATAGTAAACCTTCAAGGGTCGAAATTGATCCCAGCTCTGATGGAATTGGCCCTGTAAAATTGTTTCCCCACAGATTGAGGATAACCAAATTCTTGCAATTCGAAATCTCCCCCGGAAACTCACCATGGAATTTGTTTTCTGATAAATCCAGACCTCGGAGAGTACAATTCTTCGAAAAAGTTGATGATGGAACTGGCCCTGTGACATAGTTTTCAGAAACTGAAAACTCCACTAGCCTTGCAAACCCTGTCCAGACGTTACCAGTAAACTTGTTGGAGCTCAAGTCCAGATACTGCAGATTCCAGCACCCATCAAAGTACTTGTCAATTCTACCCACGAAATTATTCCTTGAAAGGTTTGCAACAACTAGTCGGTTGCAAATTGCTGGGAAACTCAGCTTAACCTCCCCAAGAAATCGATTAGTGGACAAATCAAGCTTCCCTAAGCTGGTCAATCCTGTCAGCTTCAGCTCACCTCCTAGAATATTATGTGATAGGTTAAGGTACAGAAGGTTGTGGCATCTGTTCAGATCATCAGGAATCACTGAACTTAGCGTGTTTCGTGAGAGATCAAGATGTTGAAGTGCAGTTAAGGCTGAGAAGTTCTTGAATATTTCGCCAGAGATCTTGCTTTCAGAGAGGTCTATACCATTGACTCTTGCCCCGTCCGGAGAGCAGAAGATTCCATGCCAGTCACATGGATTTGAGCTCCTTTGATTCCATTCTGAGTATCTTCCTCGATTTACTCGATTTTGTTTTTCCAGAAAAGATTTCAGATTCAGCAAGACTTCTTTGTCTCTGTCTAGAGAACTTGTTGAGACAGCAGTAGCAGCTGCAAATCCAATAAACTAGTACAACATAAGTGAATCATCCAACTTTAAACAAATCAAAATATAATCTCATTAAACTATATTTGTTTCAAAATAACATTAGCTAACACTATCAAGCATGGAGAAGACAACAAAAAGAAAAGGTTTGAAGGAAATATTTTTCAGAAGGCACCAACTGGTACAAAAAAATTCAAGATTTAAAATTAAGGCCTAAAGCACCAAGAAGAATTGAATATGACCAACAAGTGATAGAACAAAACTAAGTAACTAAATATATTTATAACAAACATAAAGAGAAAAAAGAATACAATTAAAAAAATAATGAATGGGATTAAACCTGTAATCAGGATTAAGAATGGAATAACTGTGGAACACCATGAGTTAGCTTTGTCTTCTAACATGGTCTTGTTTTTGTTGTTCCTGTCTGAAAATTTGGGCTTGTAGCAACGAGTTCTTTAGACAGCAAACAATCTACAGAAACATGTAAATCGAGACTAAAACTAGTCTGGGTTTTTCTCCAAATTTTTTCTGAAAAATTATCGGAAATAGAAAGTAATTTCGATTACTAAAAATTGTCCAGTTAGCAGAGCCAAAAGTCAGTTAGTCGTAATAAATACGTTGCTTTTATTCCAGCTTGTTGACCGGTTCATGCTCTTGACTTGAGTTAAATAAAACCACCTCAAATGGTAAAGGCATAAACGCGTCTTCGACATCTAACCAAAATAGAATTAATTGAATGCCCCCATAAAGGGTTCAATTGGTTCAAGTGTTTGTGTTTCAAGGCTTGGTTTTTCCAAATTTCGTCTATTGATGAATTTCAACTTTGAGACATTTTAATTTCATGATCTATAGTTAGCTGTAGAGTATTAATATGGAAGTTAGAACATTGCATTTGATTTGAATCTAGATTTTCAAAAGTTACACTACAATCTGAGCAACACATGACAGGGTTGGCAACGGTAGCTATTTGTAGACTGACAGTACAGCATATATATACACAGGAAGAAACTGTCGGGTTGGCTAGAAGTAGAAGCATATAAGGAAACTAGGGGTGGAAAATTTTCCCCTACTCATGAATAAAATCAAAAAGTATAGAAAAAAGGATACAAATTAATAATAGTACATGGAAAAGAATGTATCAAACTGATTACAAAAATTTGTAGGAAAGGCATAATCAGGCAACAGCATTTGAATCTTGAAAACATTGCGACTATGGTTGTGCCTTGAGAGATGTACTTGGGAAGTGTTGGACCGGTGATTACGGGTCAGGAGTATGATACAGTAGAAGCATCCACACAATCCGCTATCATGTTGCTACAGCTGTCCTAATTTTTCCTGTTAGAACATTAGAAGCAACCATGTTTAGAGTATTATAACAGCAATATTTAAGCATGTAGAGTAATGTATGTATACATCAATGTTGGTGTGCATATATGTAAGCAAGCCATAAAATGTTAGAACTAACTTGCAAGCAACAAACCATCAAAGAGAAGATGCAGTAAAATATAGACAAGTGGAATTGCTCCTCAGCAGAGCAAGTTAAAATTCTGAAACTTTGCCTTCCACACGTTGATCAGAGTTGTTAACCCAACATTAAATCCCATTGAGGTTGCCGCAAATAAACAGTAAAAGGCATAGGAACTAGACCTGAAGCATGTGCATTAACTTTGGATGCTCCTCCAATAGCTGGCAAAGTTTCTCTCGATCACTCAACAAAGACTGCATTAATAAGGAGTAAAGATAATTATGATATGGAAAATATCAAGCAGATGGGTTCCTTCTTCATGGGGTAATACTTACACAGCACATACCTTAATAGCTTCTGGAGACTGGAAGTACTCATGCAAGGACATTCCAGAATCTTGATGCTGCTGGGATGCACCACCTGCTTGCTGTAGAGCTTGGGGTTGCACAAGCTCGACTTGCAGCTGTTGTTGTGCTGGTGAAAACTCTGGCTGCTGGGACTGATAATAAGGATTAACAGAAGAAACATGAGCTTGTTGCAGCATTTGTAATGACTGCATTTGCATCTGAACAGGGGTTTGCAAAGACACCCCTTGGTCTAACTGCTGGGAAGATTGAACGGATGGCCTAAGATGTTGAGTTGGCTGCAACGGTCGTTGAAGCTGCTGCAACTGAACAAGAGAATGTATTGACTGAATAGACGACTGAGGTATAGAGGGATTCTGCAAGATGCTAGGAGGGTTCTCACCCTGCTGCTGTGCAGGAGTGCTTCCATAAGGTGTAACCGGGATTGAAGCAGGCCTGTTAAAAACTAAGGATGGCATCAGTGGTGGAGGTGGATAAGAAGTCAAACCAGCAGCTGAAGCAGGAAGTCGAGCATCAATAGTAGGTCCGATAGAGCTGTGAGGAAGTTCAGTTTTCCCCATACCAGTAGGATTGTAAACTGATGGTTGGGATGTAGAAGCATTTAAGGAAGCTAAGTTATATGGGCTAGATGCAAATGGAGGTGGTGTTGAAGGAAGAGGTGGGGGAGGCCTAGAAGTTCCACTAGGCGAAGACATAGAGGTTCGCATAAACTTGGAATCTGACACAGAAAGGGAAGATTGCAACAATGAAGGACTGCCACTAGCTGCAGACAAATAATCGGATTGGATCTGCTAGAAAGAAAGTCAAACATTTAGAAAGTATAACTGTATAAGTAAACATGAGCAATAAATTATCTAAACCAGAAAGTATGTCAGTTTTGATGCCCAAGTTTTAATGCCTATGTCAGGCATAAAAGCTACAAATGAGTACTACTAGTAAGAGAGCTTACTGGTGAAATTGTTGATGGAGGAGGCATTGGAGGTAAAGGTGGCTGATTTGGAAGAACTTTGCGCTCGTATAATCCTCGAGATCCAGCTGCCACAGGAATGTTACTAACATACTGGGGGCTGCTCTTTGGATAGAAGTTTTGTGGAGTTACCCTTGAATCTGCTGGCAACTGCAATGATGTTGTAGGTGTACTATAAACTGGAGCAGAGAACCCTGAACTATTTGCCCCAGCTGCAGAATCAAAACCACTGCAGTTCTTAATCGAAATAGCATTTTTTGATTCATCGAATTGCTCAAAATATTTCTTATCTGAAGAAATACTAGATTCTCGAGTTAAAGGCATTTCAGGACGTGAAACTGACATCCTTGAAGAAAACTCACTTTGGGCATTCTCATCAACGTTAGCTGCTAAAGGCGTAGCCATGTGAGAAAATTGACTATTTCCATTAACATCACTTTCAGTCTCTTCAACAACAGAGTGCGGAGAACTTTGCTCAACTATTACAGGAGCAGGCTGCTGCAGATTATCATCTGGCTGAGGGAAGGGCAACTGATCATCAGTTTCAGATTCCTCACCATCAAACACTATATCAATTCCCTGAAGATCGTCATCAAGATCAGTTTTCAGCTGCTTAGACTTGTTCAGTTTTTCATTATCTGTTCCATTTATAGGAGCTGCATTCATAGATTGTGACACTGCCTCAGCCCCTGATGCAGCAGGATTTTGACGTTCCCTCTGTCTGGCCATAAATTCATCCACATGAATAGAAGGAGGCCTCCCCCCAGAAGATCCTACTCGCTGAACAGCTATAACATTAGAATTAGCAACACCATCGACACTCCTTTCTCTTGCAACATAGTCATCCACATGCATAGATGGAGGCCTACTCGTATTAGGTTTCCGCTGTCGAAAAGTATCCCTTCGTGTAGCACCAGAAGGGGCTGTAGATGGACCCAATCCCCGTGAAAATGTAGTTGGATTTGTTATCTCAACTACTGAATTGTCTCCTCTGGCACGCCTATTTGAGCTGTCAGCTGGTTGCAGTTTTCTTCTTGAAGGAAGAGCTGTCTGCGACAATCTATCAGGTAAAGTTTCTGGCAATTCCCATGAAAACTCGTCTTCAAATCCTTGTAAGTAAAGGTTGTCATCTGCCTTTTCACCCATGCCTTGTCCGAAGTGATGAATTCTTGAAGGATCTTGAAAATTGTTTAGAGGAAAAGAAACACTTTCACGGAGAATGGTATCGTCCACCTTAACAGCAGCAGTAGAATTTTGGAACAATAACAACAATGATTTCACAGACTCTGAAACCTGTGCATCAGTGATAAGTTCAGGTTTCAAACTCAAATCAGGGGAAACAAAAGCATGCAAGTACACCTAGTTATACCTGACACATGGTGACATGCATATCCGATGGAGATTGATAGTCATCATCACTGATCCTTGAACTTAACAGAGTGGAGAATTCCTCGATACAGTTTATGTTCTCTTCTGGAAAGCCACGTAACCCAGCCATATCATCAGGAAGCCCAAAAAGGAATTTCAATGCAACAACAGCATTCATGTTTAAACTGATGAGAGCAAACCATAAGTTAGCCACAAACACTCTTCAAATGAATAGAGCAAAGAAACTAATATGCAGACATATAAATCCAAACATGAATCAAGCTTAACATATTACAAAGCCTTTGTGCATTTAGCTAGAAAAAGCTAGATTACATTTGGGTTTTGATTTGGTAATGTATATTATAATATCTTTTTTTGTTTTGGTTTCCCAAAGTTTCTTTTTTCTTTTTTCCAATCCCAGCACATGCATTTGGTGAGAAAGAATAAGTAGTGTTTTGCTTTCCGCTCTCTTCTTTAATTTGATGGAAAATAGTGAAACATGTTTGAATCATTCTCAGTTTCCTGTTATTATTAGAGCTGCATTTTCTAAAATTCGTTTTCTATTTTAATCACCAAAAGAGTTTTTGCAAGAGTTCTCTATTTTCATTAAACACAAACACATCATCATCTTCCTGAAAAACAAACTGCAGCCATGAGATTATGTTATCAAGTTTAAGATGGTCTAAAACAATAAAATGACAGGTCCTACTAACAAAACAATATTAAACACTATCATCTAAAGCTAGTAACTTTAACTTGTTAAGACCAATAGAATCTTTGAATTACATGACAAGAATTGCCAACATAATAATGAGATTGTTTTGTTCATTACCAAAATCTGATTAAATAGTTATAGAATAACCGAAACTCATAATTCCAACCTACCACCCCTGGCTTTTTTTTTTTTTTTACACTGAACATATGGGAAAAGCAGAACATGATTACCTGTCTTTTAAGTTAAACGTATGTGGAAAACTGAATATGCCTACCATGTTTTAGCTTAGGCATGAGAACAAGCAAAGTTATTTATGAGAGACAAAATCAGCCTACTGTAAGTACACAAATGCAGCAACATTATGAAAGAGGCCAGTGATAGATGTGCATATCTCACCTATTCCCATCCATGCAAAAGCACAAAGAACCTAAAGACAATGCATTAACAGCATCAATTGTATAAGTTGATAAACAATCTTTTGAATCAACAGATCTCAACAACTTTGTCCAGCAACATAGCAAGGGGGGAGAGTTTCTCCATTCAGATTCATTCAGAAAATGAAAATTTCCATTCTTTTCATGTCCTCTCTCTGATTCAAGTTCCCCACGAGTAGAATTGCCACTATATCGCAAAGCAGACATCAATGCACTACGCCCTTCAGTGCAAGAACCCAAGTCTTTAAAAGCTGTAAGGCAAGACACTAATTCTTTTCCAACCGGTAGGACCTGAGAAAAAATAGCATTTCCATTACAAGATTAGCTATCTGTAGAACGTACACTGGTTCTTGTCACTCATAAGTGAACAGTATATTCTATGTAAAGGTTTTTTAATTATTCCAATTACCTGACAAAACTTCAAGAGCTGATTTATAAATACTGAACAATCTTTGGGGCTCAAACTGTCAAAATTGTGCCTAGTAGACCACAATGAATTTAAGTAAAAACATTATTAAGCATTAAACATCATGTACAATTCGCATTTCAAATTGAGAGAGAGAGAGAGAGAGAGAGAGAGAAAAGAGAGAATGTCAATAAAAGTAACCAACTCACGTATCATGTCTCCCATTATATTGGGAAAATGTTCGAGAACTACATAGTAGTGAGAGAGATTGAAAAACTGGGATGCACCAACTAATCAAAGCAAACCCATATTTAGCATAATCTCTAGAATCTGAAATCTGCCTCCCATCTGAATCAATAGAATCAAAACAACTCTCTAACACTCTAGTTAGAATCTGAGGAAAACCCTCTCCTAGCAACAGCGCCTGATATAGGAAGAAAGGCACCATAAGTACAATAAATTGCAAATCAGGCGGGTGAAATAAAAAAAAAAAATCCACGAACCTTGGCATATGGATGCTCCAGTAAGCTAGCAAGAAAATCAAGGAACCTATAAATCTGCAGAGACGAGGGAAAAGGAAATTATTTAGTATAACAGTCTAAACTAAAAAAACCACAAAAAGGTAATTTGGGCAAAAAACTTAGAAGTTATCACCTTGTAAGCATCCATGTCGGATAGAGAAGATAAGTCAGAAATGTGATCATGTATCCATGATAATATAGGCCGCAGAAGTTTACAAGCATGTTCAGATTTTTGGCAAGCAATGCGAATTATAAAAACTCGAAGCATGTCTTGTATGACTACCAAAGCCTGCTTCAAAGTGATATATTAGTAGAGGCACATGATACAAAGCAAGTTTATCAAAATAGAATAGCTAGCCTTCCACCATCCTTTCTTCATTCCTGCAATACCAGAAATTTCAGAGGATAACAAAACCAAAATAGCATGTTGATGAAAGAACACATACTGAGATGGCATAATGTTGGATAATCTGGGCAATTTTGTCGAGCTGTGGTGTCAATTGGTTGAGCAACTTCTCAAGGTGACCATGCTCCAGATACCAATCAACCTGTCTCTCCTTATGAGGTCCCAATAAAGTCCCAATAGCCAATGACCTAAGGGCACTCAACAAGGGCATCCCGTTCTTCCAAAGCCAGACACGTTCTTCAGGAAATAGATCATTCTTGTAATGTAAAAGGAGAAAGTAAAAAACTAGTTAATGCTGCAGTTGAAGCCAATCTCCAATGGAGCAAAAACATGTTTTTAGTTGAGAGAAGGGTCTTCTGTTCTAATAACAGAAAAATGCTATTGAAAAAAAAGGCAAACAGAGTAAGAACGGTATTTGAATTTGAGATTCATAGTTTTCCATGTTGACATGCACCAAACATAATAGAAGGAAAATATCAAGCAATCATGGTGAAAAAATGAGTTCCTTAATAATCACCAACAAAGGCATGATAGATGCAATAAAAAAACATTAACTTGTTCAATGTTTCTTGATATGAATAACTGCCACAATAGTAATGAGACTAAGGTGCTATTAGGATTAAAGAAAATTGGAGAACTGAAATACCAAAAGACAAAGTAAACTGCAGGTCTCCTTTGGACCCAAGGCCAGTGATGAAGTAGTTTGAACACTGGCAAGAATTGAGTGGAAGAGGCCAGGAGTCCAACCATATACTGGCCAATAAGCAAGAGCTGATGCAACAAGTTGGCAGACAGCTTCAAAACCAAGGGCAGAATCAGGATAGGGAGAGGATAAATCAGCTGCACAAGCTGCAAGCTTTGGGCTGCAACACAGCAATACACTTAGTGCATTTCACTCCATAAAATGAGCATAGTATGGTAAAAGCTTCCATAGAAAAACAGTTAACTATTAATTACCTTACTTCTCGATGCAATCGTAACAATGCATTCATCAGTTTTGTATTCCTGTGCTGTTCCTTAGCTTCCTATAAGTAGAGGACAAGACAACTCAATTCTCAAATTTGGAAGAATGGTGTAGGTTAAAATGGGTTAACTACATCCACAAATGCAGTAACTATCCTGAGCACAAGAGTTTATATTAACGGCATATATAGTAATAACCTTAAAAGAAGAACCACCATATCATGCATGTCCTTCACAACTATGCCCATGTTTCTGATTGGGAGAAGAAATCATCTAATCTAAACAAAATGGTGAGCAATTCTTCCTGATATAGTTCAAAGCATTATTTCTTCTGCATTGCAACTATTCCTACTAACAAGGTGTAGCATAGAATCTTCAATCTCACCATAAATCCACAATTTTCATGATGCTTTTTGCAAAAGAAAATATCGTCGTTTTTTCAAGAGATCATTATTAGATACCAATGCTTACTTAAAGCAGCAACCTGTAATTTCTCGAAAAGAGTGATCAGCAATACAGAGATGAACAAAAGATCAACAAACACTGTTCACGACTGCAGTTCCAGCAATAAATCAGATGTAGAATTGCATTCAGTACCCTCGTCAACAAGATAATCTGTTCAAGGCAATATAAAACGATGTTGTAAAGCAAGGATGCTAAAAAAACAGAAAATACTTGAAAGACTTGAACCACATTGGACAGACTCTGGAGAAACAAATCTTGATTGAACCCATATTTGCCCAATGGATCCAATCTTCTCATGGTAAAACTTCATATGGGTAATGGCCCAGCATTCAGAGCGAGTTGAAGCATATGGTTGCCTGTTTGTTTAAATGCTGTTAATGAAAAAAGTAATTCACTATTCTTAACAATAGGTCCTGGAGACTTCATCATGCTATTGCTCTAGGTTTACATACAACTACATCGATCTTAGTAAAAGGTGCTTTATATGTGTGCAGGTTCAAGTTAATGCAGGATAAAAAGGATTTTGGTTATGGTTTTCCTTGCGATGTTTCGGGATGAGGTGGTGTATAAAGCAACATAATTTTAACAAGGTCAACAAGCAAGTCATATAATAGACATGCCACAAATGATGATAACATAGGGGCAAAAATCTGCAACAATAGAGCCCAATAAACCTTTATCCTATCAAGATTGTTTGAAAGCTTTGGGTGTCCTTGAGAGAGAGAGGTTTGACACAAGGAATAAGCCTAAAAAACTAAGGGAATGGAGAAAAAGTTTTACCAACTCACCCCTTATTATTAGATAATGAACATTTCAATGCTGATTAAATTTATAATGCAGTCCTAGTGTTCTCATATTAACATTTAACTATATAAATATAAATTATAAAAACATCAGTTTCCATTTATATACTACAATATAATTAAATCAGCAAGAAACCCACTCGACAACCAATACTCATTAACTTACCATAGCTATTTGAGGACCTCTCAAGCATGAAGCTACAATTGACAAGAACCATGTAGATAACTGCGATGGCACCTTCATCATACAAAGTAGTAGCAACAGTCTACAACAAAAACTACACATAATGAGTCAAATCAATTTAGTTTTAAATTAGACACTAAAGTAGAAAATTGCATACCGGATTCTCTGAAATGAATGCCAAAATTCGAAATGCAGTTGTCAGCTGGGCTATAGCAGAGTCACGGAGGTTATCACCATCAAAGGACTTTAAAGAGATAATGCTTGCAAGATTCTCCATGACATTAATGTCAGAAGCATTAGAAGATTCTCCAGCAACATTATCAACAACATCTGTGAAATCAGAAACTAGAATGTTGGTTGAGGTAAGATGAGCATCTCCTCCAGAAGCCAGCACAGCAGCATATCTTAGAAGACCAATAGCCCCATTTTTATGATAAACTAAACCACCATCAATCCACTCCAACAACCGTGTAGGACCATCTTTCCTATTGGACCCAGGGGAAGAAGAATGTAAAGCTTTATGAAGTTCCATGGCATGTCCAATCCAAGAGGACAGAGAGGTTGCAGTTGAATCAGTAACAATGACTTCAACAATCTCAGCAGCTGAGTGTAAAATTGCGAGATTAAGTGGTGAACCGCCTGCATATCCAGAATGTTGCAAATATAAGCCCATGTATTAAGCAAGTAAATTAAAAACTTTTCAACTAATTTTAACTAACCGCGGAATAATAAACAGTACCGCTATTCTTGATGGCAGGTTCTGATTCCTTGATCCGAATGCAAAGCTTCAGATCAGAATTTGACACCACCTGTCAAAGAAAGGGTAAAATAGAGGCATTGAAATGAATAAATGCTGGTTAGGTCCATTTTTATTCTGTTAATAATTAAATCAGAAGTATCAACAGAACCCAAATTCTGCACACTGTAGATAATATTCTATAGAGTATATTAACCTATAGAGAATATTTGCAATACCTCTTGGAAAGAAACCAGGGCCAAATAAAGCCTGGCATCGCAATCAGAGCCTGCCAAAATATAAAACAAGATTTCAGTCAGAACCGATCATATTGTAGTTCAAAGTCCAAGTTCAAGAGAATTGATCAAACCAATTCACCTAGCTAGACCACACAGCTCCCATAATACCCATAAAAATTCTTCAGACTGAGGAGTTGATGAAAGCAAACGATCTATGGCGTTAACCTACAATAAAATATAAAAAAAAAGTCATACGTAGTCACACATTGATAGTGAAATTTTAAAAAAATAAATAAAAGAGAAAAAGATTATCAATACTCATATCAACCAAGAAAAGGAACTAACCACCCTCAAATGTGTCTCAACAATGATTCCAACTTCCAGTGGACTGCAAGTAAATCCTTTAGATATTAAAACAGATGCATACCGAAGAGGAACACAATCTTCCTTATTCATAGCATCAGCACCCTTCAGGGCATGAATTAGTGTAGCAGTAAGTTCAGGCTGATGTAGGAGGAAAACCAAGCCTGAAACAGAAGTAACACAGCATCAATCACAACCATCATTGAGCTTGATAACACAATGTGATCTTGGAAGCAGGGTAATTAACAAAAACCTGAGCGACAAAAAAGAAGGGAGAGAA